GCCTGGGGAAGAGCCTCTAATGTGGTTCTAAATGGGGGCGCCCCCTCAGAGCAGCTGAATTCAGCTGGGAGTCGTGCAAATGCAAGGACTCAGCAGCCCCTGTGTGTGGCTTTCACATTAAAGTTCCTTAGAAGAGTGGGTTTTCTTCCTGCTCTGTCCATGCTCTGGCTCTTTAAGGATGCTTCATAGATGCTCTAAAGCAGGCATCCTCAAACTACGGCCCACGGGCCACATGCGGCCGGCCGAAAACATTTATCCGGCCCGCCGGGTGTTTTTGCCGCCGCTGCCTGTCCTGCTTAGCAGCCAACTCGTCCTGGGCCCGCAGTGCCCATGTGTGGAATGTCTGAGGGACAGTGAACTGGCCCCCTGTTTAAAAAGTTTGAGGACCTCTGCTCTAAAGTGAGCCTTGTCCCCACTCTGAGGCACCGCTATTCGAGGGGAAGTCGTGAAGCGATTTTCCTCTTCCTGCAGGGTGATGAGTGTCAGAACGCCTCCAGAGCAAAGGGGAGGCCTGCCTGGAGCCACACCTTTTACTATCGAGGCATTTCAGGGAGTCCAAATGTGAGCTGCTACCACCCACTGAGCTCTTCCACCAAAGCTTCCTCTTAGATTTGATCCTCCCCAAAGCCCTCCAAGGAACAACCTCTTTAGATTCCCGGAGGCTCAGAGGGGAAAGCAAGGGCCCCAGGCCCTGCGGCTGGCGGGGCCCTCAGCAGCATCAGGCCTTCTGGCTCCAAAGGTGAAAAACGCCTCTCGGCCCCCTGCCCACCAGCATCATGTACGTGGCCGGAGAGGGGCTGCCCTTCCTGTTCCCGGGAGAGGGGACACTCTTAGGAAACCTGGGCTTCACTGAATCTGAGTCCTCCAATCCCAACTCACCAGTTAGTCCAGAACCCAGCGGGGACGCACGCTGTCCTTTCCCTGCAGGCACAGGCCACCCCTTCCCAGCTGGCACGAGGCCTCAGGGAGACGCAGTGGCAGGCACCTTTACCCTCCCGTGCCATTTCTAACCATGAGTGCATGCACGACAGCGTCTGACCCGGAACCTTGGTAATGCTCTTCCTGCTGGAGATCGCAGATGAGTCACTTAGGAAGCCGCCCCCTGCAGAATGGCAGACCTTCCCCAGGGGCTGTCAGGTCCCTGAAGGCTTGTGATAGAGGGACAGAGAAAGGCTGCAATCCTGAGAGAGGAATGACAGATCCCCGACCCCGAAAGGCCTCTGACCTCTGACCTCAGTTCTCCCCTCCCAGGTTCGGCTTCATCTTCAACAAGTCTGACCCTGCAGTTCACAAGGTGGACCTGGAAACGCTGATGCTCCTCAAGACCATCCGGCTGCAGCGGCACGGCTGCCTGCCGCAGGCCATGGCCCACACCCACCTGGGCGGCTACT